GACCTTTGCTAGCGCCCTGGGAGTGCAGCGCGCATCCGCCTCCTTGTGCATCCCTCTCCCTGCATCATTTCCAGCTTTCCTGGGTAAAGCCATTTTAATTAAACCACGTCCTAGAGGGGATTTAAATCCTTAAGCTGCTTTCACAACAGGACGGAGCCTCCCTCTTCCCACTTGTGGCCATGAGGACCACGGGGATGCTGTGAGGGTCCCTGTCCCAGCCGTGTCCCTGACAAGGTCACGGTACACGGGGTGATCCCATGTCACTGCAAAACCTTCCAACCAGGTAAAACCGCTCCAGGTGACAAGACGGATTGTTCCTGCTCAACCCTTTTTTTTCTTTACATCTAGCGAATAACATTTTTTAGCCACTGGACAGTGAAATCAGCCCATTGCTTCAGGCCATTACAGGGCTCATTTGCAATTTCATCTTTGCTGCCTGGCTCCTCGGAGCAGATTAATTCTCACCCCTAAGAATTGGCCACATTTTATCGCTTTTTGGCTTCACCATCTTCTGGGACCCAAGTTCAGGCTCTGCTCAAGGTGCGTGGCATCCCCAGGCACCAACACTGAAAAGCCAGCCCCACGCCAGACACCATCTTTCACACCAAAACCTCCCATGAGACAAAGATCAACGCACAGTGTGGCTGGAAGTGACCCATTTGCTGCAGCCCCATGTGTTGAATGTGGTCCCCGGGGTGCTCTCATGACAGAGAGATTTGCTTTAAAAACAAGAGCGGATTTTGCAACTCATCCGGCTGAACTTGGGAATCACGTTCCCATGGCAACGGCAGAGCCGGGTACTGGGTACCACAGGGATGCTGCAGGATGAACAAAACCCGGCCCTTTTAGGCCATTTGCAAAACATTTTCCTTCCTTTGCTCAACATTTTCCATGAAATCTTATTTTTCAAATTTAAAAGCAATTTGGGAACAAACTGCTCAGGTTTGGAAGGGGAGAGGTGGCTGTCACCGCCTTCTCCAGCTCAGGAAAATGAGCAGAAGCCTTTGATTTGAACCCAAAATGGCATTGCTGCTGCAGCACCCACAGCAGTAACACACTCCCAGTGGGAGAAGGAGCCACCCAGAGCTCTCCCGTTGCAGCTCAGCTCCCACAGGCACCGTTTCCAAACGCACCAGGGTTTTGCAGTACCCCAGCAGCCACCCTCACTCTGCATCCCTCTCATCTCAGCTGAATCCCAGCCTAGACCCGGCACCTCTTGCCTTCCACACTATTTTTTCCGCACGGA